GGGGAAACCATCTCCAGCTCCAGCCCCCAGCCCTGCGGTGGGTTTGCCAGCGAGAAACCGGCACACAGTGAAGCAAAGCGGTTTACAGAAAAGGTGTCTGTTACACGTGATTACGTTGATTCAAGATCGAGTTACATTCTGGAAAATATTTCTTCTGGAGATGTGACAAACGAAATCGCCGCGTGTACTTTTTTCGCGGTATTTTTGTCCTTGAGCGCAGCACCACCTTGCTGCTCTTCTGCTTCACTGCTTTGAAAACTTACTTTGTTGACCTTTAACACAGTGACTTAATAGCTTGGTTCTGTGTTAGCACATACCGCAGGTTTCCTCTACTCTATACCTTTTTATGTGCAATAAATTGAGCTACAAAGCTTTGTAAAGTGGCTCCATCCAGTTCTGCATAGTGGGAGATACAGTGGATTAACAAGTATTCCTACTTTAAAGTTCCTACAGGGGCTTTGCCATACAAAGTAACAAATAGGGTTTTCATTACCAGAATGTTTTTCTTCTCAGTTGAAACCACAACTACACCAAATATTTGTATATCTATAAAAAAGGAACTCATGCCAGAAGCTGCTTGCTAGGCTGGAGTAAGGCCCAGGTAGGATCTGCAAGACTCAAGTATTTGTCCTACAACAGGAATAGCAGCAATGTAACCAAAGTATTTACAATGGCAAATGTGTTCTCTTCAGTCTTCTGCCAAGTAGGGAGATACATTTAAAGAACCAACTGGAAGCAGTTGGAAATGTCCTAGAAATTAATAAAGGAAAAGTGATTCTCAGTTTGACTGAGCATTCCCTCCTAGCTGTCAACTTCCAAAGTTAACAACTTCCAACTATGTAACATGTGAAATGTCTTAGTGAACTTTTCAAGTTCCTACTGCCACAAGGATAATTTAGCTAGAAACCTCTCTTTTCTGAATGCACATTAACTCCACTTAGCAGATGACATTATTATTTTTACCTTATCTAAACCAAAGTTTCTTTTCACTACCATTTAGTGAAGTCCCTAAAGTTTGACATTTTTGAGGAAAAATCACTCAAAAAACTGGGACTGAAGATGAGCCTTATATCAAACTCACAATAGAGGACACTGAAGAAATGTGCATGCTTTTTAAAAATCCATCTCTTTAGGATTAAAAGCATATTAGAATGACGCTCTCCATTTGGCTTTGAAAGAAAATTCTGTCCAGGCACACAACTGACATTTACATAAAGAAAATACATCTAATTTATCAGCTTCTATCACAAGATCTTTGCTATATCAAGGAGTCAATTCATACAAAAGCATTATGATAAAATTATTGAGCATCAGATTATCTGAGTCAGCCTCACCAAAAGTATATCCAAAAGTATATCCAAAAGTTTAATTAAGTAAGAAATGTTGATGTGTCTGTGTCATTAGCCAATGAAGAAAAAATTGTGAAATAAGCCTGCATTCACTGCTGATGTGCCACCTCGGAAGCTGGCATTATGATTTGTTAAAAAAAAATAAAATAGGTCATTTGACCTGAAATATCAGATCAAACAGAACAGTTGAGAGGAAAAAAACCCCAAAAACCAGCCAGCAGATATGGGTGTATGAAAAACCAGTTGATTAAAGGGAATGAAAGCTTTGCCTTCTGACTTTAAATTTTAAAGTTACCTTGATTCCAGAAATTTCTTTGAAAAGCTTATCAGTACAGGATGGTGGAGAGTATGTTTTATTTATTCTTAAATAATAAAAGAATATAGCTTAGCTTTACTCATAACCAAATGCCTACGAAACACTAAAGAAGTTTTTTATTTTTTCAGTCACTTTTTCCTCTCATCTTAGCATCAAATGCTTCAGAAGTTCTAATAAAACTTCCTCTCTCAGTGTACTTTTCCTGGCCTACTACTAGGTAAGATACTAAGAAACAACTACATAGTCCACATGGCAACACAGCAAATAAGCCAAGAAGGTTTCCAATAAAAGTATTTTTAAGTAATATGCTAAGACAGTTCATATTGAAAAAACAGCAAAAATACTTATTTTGATTCAGCAATCAATACTAGTGACTTAGGCTGTTTGCAGCTAGAACGACAAAATAGAAGTCTTAACCCCACTCTCTTACCACACCTATTAATTCAATTAGTAATTAATATTTTATAGAATAACTTTCTCCTTAAAACTGCTGGATTCTCTTGCCAAGTACTTGTCATTGCAATGTTTCCTACATGGTTTTAGGAAGTTATGCTTATATTCCTAGTATGTGACAAACTTACTATGTGACCTTATTAAGCACAGTTATTTTAGCACTGTTTTAATTGCTACTGTTATTTTAATGAGTTCAGTCTCACTAGTAATATTTTTCCATATTTGGATGAACAACTAAAATTATTGAGGAAAAAACAGTGCCTAATTTTACAGTACAAATCCATGCCATTGCACTAGTCCTCCTGCTTAGTCTTCAAGAAAAGAAAAAGATTTACAATAAAATTAGGTTATCCTTAGATTTTCTTAACTTTTTATCCTGATACACCAAGAGCTAAACCTCACACTCAAGGAGATGCATATGAATATATACACTGAATCATCTAGAACATGCTGCATAGTTACAACTGGAGTGTTCACCTTTAAAAAAAAAAAAAAACCCAAAAAAGTGTCTTCCTCCTCCTTCCCACTCCCAAATCCCACAACAAAACAAGTCAAAATGAAAAGGGCAAAATGAAGAGAAAGGAAATAATTTATTAAGAGATTTCACAAGCACACTAGCATACATTTATCAGGTAAGTCTCGTGACAGTTTAAAGACACCTGAAATCTTTAAGATGAAAAAATTTATACTCTGTCTTAAATACTTTAGAAACACTACTACGCACAGTTCAAGAGTCCTGATGATTACACTGCTTCTTCCCCATGCTTGAAAATACTTGAAAGAGGTGGAACACAAAAGGGACCTGGAACATCACAAAGGCATGTTAAAAGTAAGAACAACCAGCAAATAGTAGCATTATGCCTTCTTTTGACAACTCAATTGAAAGATGCTTGGTATTTATAAAAGTCCTGAATGTCTGCAAAAATTTCACTTAATAGATAGAGGCTGTATTAATGTTATGTTACAGTAAGTTAAACAATAATGTAATAATGCAACCCACAAGAAAAATATAGATCACTGGCAACAACAGGGAACAATGTATAAAAACCCAACCAACTACAAAAAGGTAGCAGTGATTAATAACTGCTTAACAGTTCCATTCCAAATACTTCACTGTGAGATATTGTTAGATTTTCTTCTCTGCTCAGAAAAGAAGTAAGGAATGTAAAAACTAAGGCAACTACAGATTGTTTCTCATATACCATGACAAAAGTAATCATAAAATAATTAAAGAGTTGATGACTACTTTACATGTTTAGAATTGCTCTAAAACATATTTTAAACCAAGTATTACAATTTTATTTTTTTTTTAAAAAAAACGAGATTAAATCCTCACTGTGAGCTCAGCACAGCTCCACACACATCAGTGGAACACTTGTAGCTCACATAAGCTAAGGAACTGGACCACAAATTGGCAAGTTATATGACCTCTGAGAAAGAGGGTGAAGGGCACCTTTTAAGACGAGGAACCTTCATTGTGTCTATTTACGCAACACAGACAAGTCACTGACATTTTTTTTTTTTCCCTGAGAAAATGGACTTTTGCTTTTAAAATTACCAGACTAGTTTAAGCTCCAAAACGTGTAAACTCCTCCCCCACACCTACTCTATACAAAAACTCAGATGCAGTTGAGTGCTACAGGAAACATTGCACAAAAAAAGGATACAACAAGAAAGGATACACTCTGCATGACAGTATTACTGCAGTATTTACGCAGGAATGTTTCTAAAGAAGAACAGCAGAATGTGGTTTAATTTTACTTGATTCTCAGTATTGCATACACATAATTTTATGCCACTTATCAACAGCAAATATGCTTCTCTGATAAAATACAGTTTTGATCCCTTATGAAATTTAATGAGGGCTGATGAGTCCACCAACACTAAACTCCATATTCAAAAGTTAATACATTTTTTTTACTCATTTTTACAGACTCACTTTTTCCATCAGGTCAAAAACCCAATCATGTTTCCATTGACTGAAGGCTTTCAAGTCACTTCTTCCTTATGAAGAAGCTGGAGACCTCTCAGCATCAGTTTCTTCTACATAACCTTTCTCCCCAAAAGCTGTATTTTAGCTACAGAAAAAATAGGCAACCCAAATACTAACTGAAATTTTTTTGCAGTCTATCAAGAAAGACTCTTCAGCTAGCAAGCAGTTACATAGTATTTTTATAAATTGGTTGTGATATTTTCTCTACAAAGGATAAAACCCTTGAAAATACTAACAAAAAATATTTGCAATAACATCCTTAGATTTAAATTCTTCCTGTTTAAAACTTATGTCAATTTAGTTGTGAAGGAAAAAAAAAAAAAAAAAAAAAGGGCAACAACATTAAGACGCAGGATACAGATCAAACTTGGAAGTCCCTCAAGTGTTTACACAAACTTGTTTATATCATATTTCTTTTCAGCTGAGACTCTGATAGGCTTCCTCCATACAGATACAGAATTCTATCATGGAATTTTGCATCATAAATCAACATCCATCATCGAATATTCCAGCAGGAACAGGAAAACACAGTCATGCATAAATAAAGAGTTCAGTTTAATTATTAGTTGGGAAGTGAAGTATTTTTTTTAGTTAAGCCTCATGGATCCCTAGAAATCTGCATTAGTCCATGGGACATTCTGTAATCTTTACATGCAAATGGTCAAAGTAAGGAAGAAATTCTGCCCAGGATATATTAAACCCATGGCACCAAAGTACCTTGTGTTCACTTTCAGGAGAACAGGTAAATCTTGCACAACTACATGTTTGCTCACTCATACTTTTTTTAGAGTTGACCAACATTAACTAAAGAAGCACCTTGTTATTTTTGTTATGTAATTCAAGTATTATTTGCATGTTTAGTGAAGTCAGAATTAATGTATAAAAGTGGTTGGAAAGATAAGGAATTTCTAAAAGAAGTGTACAGACTTAAATTGTAAGGCTTTGCAATAGCTAAAACTTTCACGTTTCTTTTTGCATTTAAAGAAATCTTCTTTAATATTAGACACTGGATAAAGTAACATAAATACAATTTTTTTTTTCTAACAAGGAAGGAGTAAGAAACAAGACTGAAACATTCCCATAAATCCTTCCACCCAGTAGAACACTTTAGCCAATTCAGAAAAATGCCTGTAAACAAATGTGACCTTTAACTTGGTAAAATACAGATTTTGCAAACCACAAATCAATAACTTAAAATAAGAACTGGTAAGACTGAAATGCATCTCAGAAATGAGGGGAAACAAGCTCAAATATAATCTGATGTAAAAAATCCTTAAGATAATTTACAGAACAAGAAACCTACAATTAAAGTAACTGTTAGAAATACTATCCTCACAATAACCACACTTCAGTGTCTCCAACCAATTTTTAAAATTTAAAAGCATCTATTCACATCATTTTTTTCAAAAGCCAGGGTATTTTCCAAAGTAACAATGATCAAAATATCCAGATTAAAAACATATCATGGAGTAAGTAGAATGTTTCAGAAGCAGTCAGCCTAACCTTTGAGTTCATTTGGTCCTGGGTGGAGGCATAACTAGAGTGATGCCCAACTGTAATCTGTAATTAGGTTAAATGTTCTTTAAATTTGAGCCAGCTGATCTATCAAAGGGTGCAGACTGAGAAATACATGCTTCTAATTCTTGCATCAGTTACTTCACATGCTAATTTGAGATACTACTCAAATGTTTTTAGGCCATGTAAATCCTCACAGTTAAATTAGAGCTGTTTTTGCTTGAGTTACTCTCACATAAAGCAAACACTTTGAGTAAGCAGTAATGAAGTAAAGCTGTATGACAGGAGATAAAGTCAGTGATTACTTTTTGCTAAAAGTTATTTTCCCATCAAGTTTAGACAACAATGCCAAAAATCAGGACGTGTTCCACAACAAGAGAAGCCTTGATCCATGCAACATTAAGTAGCACTTTTTGACACATCCTTTTTTAAATCAGGCAAGTTTAAAGGATGCTGCAAAAGTATTCAGATCTCATTTTCTAGAACTAGCAAAGGCAAAGGTCCTTTGCAAAGCTAGCAGAATTGTGTTTATTGCTGGAAACAGTTCTTCAGGATCATTTTACAATGGCAGGGATGGAAGGGAAGGAGAAAAGAGGTAACTCTTCAAAGCTGAAACCTCAGATTACTAAAATGTAAGTGGTCGGATTCCAGTTATTCTCCCCAGATTATGGATTAGAGAAACTGACAACTATCCTAGGACATCAGGGTTAGAGAAATGGCAGTATCCAAGTTTCTAAACAGAGAAAGAAGTAACAATTTAAACTTACACCAATTATATACCTTGTATTGTGTTTTTCTGATTTAAGTGCGCATTTAAGAAAAGAAAATAGTATAGAACGTTTCCCCTCCATCATCACTATTTCTAAAGCAGGATTGAAAAAGATAATAAATAAAAGCAAACCAAAAAACCCACCAAAACAAGTTAACAAAAAAACCCAGCCTATTTCTTTATTTTTATTTTCAAACAAAGAATCCATACCTTGGCAGTGTTCTACTTTTTCCTTTTCCCTTCATTGGCATCCTGTTTTGGTCTAGCTGAACGAGCAAATTGCTGAAATCCTGTTAAGGACTACAAGCGTGACTGATAAACAGAAACCAATCAAGAAACAAAAATGAATTATTATTTCAGCGAAAGAGAGTTTAATAGGTGGCCTCTGTGAATTAATTCTACTACACTATTACACTATTATGTATTATAACAATGGTGTCTAGTAGAACCTAATTAATCTGCAGTTTGAAAAATGTTGAGAGACTGTTTAAGAGTTTACAATACTAAGTAAATAAGGAGGACTAGTCAGGGGGTGGGGCAGGTGCAAAGAGAAAAACTACAGCAGGATAAATGCTTGATATTTACAATCTTCCATACCAGCATGTTTATTATTCTACAACTGTCTCAGCAGGTATTTAGGAGTAAAGAAATCTAAAAGGAACAGAGGTTGGGGTGAATAAGTATACAAAAAAAAGGTAAACTATGAGACATTTAAATGAAAAATGAAAAAGGACAGCAAGAGATTTAAAACTTATAGACAAAACCAGAGCAACTGAAAAGTGCAGAAATCCCAACATGTTACACAGGTTCAAAAAGTGACTGACAGTTCCAGCTGGAGAAGCAGTCTAAACAGACCACTAACCCTGACAGGAACATTTATTCATGTTCTTCATTCTGCAAACACAAGCTTAACCAAGTCAAAAAAGCCTACTAAGTTTAAATACAATGGTCATACAAGCTAAATTGTCTTTTGTATTGTGTTTGCAAGATCAAGGAGCTACAACCAGAGAAGTAGATTTTATTGTCTTAAAGAAAGCACATTTACTTTCCTACTTCAGAAGAGATGCCTCTATATATTTTTCAGTTGCCATAAAACTAACAGTTGTACATTAAGCTATGCTGCCTGGTTTTCTTAATGTATTTCCTCTGTCCATAGATTTCTAAAAGGGAAGAACATTATGAGAGAAACTAGAGATTGACAGATGATTACAAGGAATGTAAGTGTTTGAAGAAAAAGATACAACCACCATGGGTTTTTCAAATAAGACGTATCCATTTGCTTCTTTTAAAGCTTTAGCAGCAGCTTTTTCATTAGGAAGTCCAATGAAAGCCTGTCCCTTCATACGGCCTTCTTTCATCAAACGTATATCAAACCTAGAGGCAAAAATTGAGGATTAGGAATTACTCATGTTTAACCACACTTTCATATTTCACAGTACAAATTTAATTCCTATGCTTCAATTTGGAAAAACAGCAGAAAAGGGAGCAGAGGCTACAAGCAGAAATTATGCCATCGGAGACCATTTTGCCAGGGGGAACCATTTACAAAGAAGTGACATTGGACCGCAGGATGGGAAACTGTTGTGCAACTGGAGTAAATATGACACATGCAAAATGATCAGACACACAGTCACCTACACTGCTCATTCTGCATCACTCAGCCAGTAACAGTAAATTTAGTAACAAAAATGTAAGGTCAAAATAGTAGGGTTTTCAGACACAGTTCAAAAATAATTCTATTTCTGTACTTGTGATAAATGAAGAATTTCAGATTAAACATTTTTCTTAATGCAGAAGCAGAAAGAAAAAATACAGATGACAATTTTCATCAGTGTTACAGAACATAAAAGGCTTAACTTTATCAAAGTATCAAATTAACTTACATATTTCGTTCCACTTCTGACTTGAAATCAACATATCTTCCAAAAATGAACTTGAGATCCTGAAATCAAAGGGTAGGTATAAGAGGAAAGCTGCCAAAACAACTTTCTGATAAATATTTAATTTGCTTGTTTACCTACCTTTTCTTGAACTTGTTTAGCTAAATTCTTCACATATATCCTGCAATTTGGATCACCTGGCTCATAGTTTTTGAAAACAGAAAATTTTCCCATTTCTTGAAGAACAGAAAAACAGACAGTGTGTTAGGTCATTTAAGTACTTTGTATTTTTTGCTCAGTATAAAATAACTATATTTAATATACTATCAATCAATAAAGGAGATACTTGTTTAAACTATTTGTTACAACAAATCAAAGAGCTATTATTATGAACTTTATGCTCACAGATATACCTTCTCTAGAAAGCCTGTTTTTTTCTAGATCCCTTCTAGAAATAAATTCTGATGGTATTTCATCTTCCTCCTCTTCAGTTTCCATTTTATCATTTGAGCTAGGAGCTGGGAAAATCCTTCCAAAGCCTGTGTTATTGATTTCTTCTGTGGTTGCAGAAAGTTCTGGAATTTCAACACATAACGTAAGTGGTTTGTATGTTTAGTCATAAGAGGATCAACAGCAAGCAAAAAAGTTTACTATTTCCAGTAATGTTTCAACATAGCAGACTCTGTAAAGCAATCTGAACACATCCTTAAAGAAATGTGTCTTAATACCTGGTTTGACAAACATACTTGCGTTATACTGTACTGTAAAATCAACTGGACTACGAATAAAAGCTGTGACACGTGCCAGTTAAGGTTAAACTAGCCTTGCTGCTCAAGCCTGCATCCATTTCAACAGTTTATCAAATTTTCTTTCAGAGAAACCATACCTTGCTGTAAAGTTCCAAGAAACACAGACTGAACATAACCCTATAAGAAACCACTACAACTCATTGTTAATTATTGACTAACATTTTTATAGTAGATAATTAGTGCATCACAGAGAAGCTGGCAACCACGTGAATGCTACTCTCTAAGAGCTGGAAAAGGACAATGTGAAATTAGTTTAATACATTGAGAATACATTTGTAACATATTTGCTAAAAACACCTTAACATTTAAGAGTGCAATTCACCATAAACACACAGATCACATAGGAGAGAGACCTTTAAAATCCTATGGATCCTTTACCAAGGCACAGAGTTCTGTGATTTAACATGGGAAAAACAGCAAATGCAGACAAGATGCAAGTTGGTGTTTCTAAAGAAGTCTGATAAATACTATTTACGGAAGTTCCAATTCAAAAAAATAAAATAATTCCCAGCCTAAACTTCAGCAGCATTCTACAGATTGAAACCACAGGAATTTAATATTAAATACGTTTGAAGTATGAATTCTCTTACCATTTTTTTCTTCTTTCTCTGAGTTTATCTGAATAGCTGGGATGTCAGTAGTAATATGGAACTCAATTTTTTTATGACCTATATGCTGTGGCTGCTCAAAGACATCTGAAGGTGACAGTGCAGGGTGCAAATTACTGTTTAAAACAACATGTTAATTAAAAAGTCAGACGCTGATGAATACATAAATCACATAAAAGATTTCTTCCATATAGATTTTATGCTGCTGCTCACAACAAATACACCATTTCTTCATTTCACAAATTTTGCCCAATACAGTCCAAGTTGATTAAAACACTGCAAATCCAGCAGGTGTGGCTGGCCGTGAAAGCAAAACCAAAAATTAATACCACAATAGAATTTAGACAGGCACTTATGAAAAAATTCTATCAGTAACTTAAATACAAAAAATGTGAGCCTTGCTGATGCTCTCACAGTGTATAAAATATATCAAATTAAACAAACAAACAAAATAACTTGGAGAAGGAAGAAGGCTATTAAGTCAATATGCATTCACAATTGATTATTAATACATAGAAATCCTACACTGTTGTCTAATTTGCCATAGTAATGCAGCTTCAAAAAACAAAATTATTTAAAACCAAATCAGTTTTTATTCTTCCAGTATCATCCTTTTCATTTATTTTAAATTTTTATTTTACAAAGTATACCAAACAATAAACTGATACGGCTTCTGTCTGGGCTGTGATATGAATTTGTTTTTCTATTTTATGAGAAAGGGATTTTATTAGTTTGATGGCAAGAGATATACAGAGCTTGAACCAGACACACTTTACAGGTTAAGGTTGTTGACCAGGCTTGAGTTCAAAGCACACAAAAATTTGGACCTTTCATGCAATAAAGCCAAGCAAGAGGATAAAGGAAGATCAACTCCACTACCAAATTTACACAACAGTGAAGAATGCTTGTTTTAAAACAGCAACACAAAAGCAAACATGATACACAGAATGTCATTTAGTAAAAGGAATAATCTGAAAAAGTGCGAAAACCACAGCAATAATACAAACCTGTGAGGAGCACAAACGGGAACATTCAGCAAGTCTTTAATTCTTTGCTTTTTTCTAACACCACGCCTCTTCGTGTTTATTGGTCTTTTTGGCTGAAGGGTTGCTAATTCCATCAATTTGGTCATTCTATTAAAAAAAATTAAAAAGAACCAAAGTTATTGACAGTTTATTTGAAAATTTGAAAACCCTTCTGCCTTCCTTAAAGGCCTCAAAATACAACTTTTCAGAATATGCTTATAAATTGAGCTACCTTAAGTCTGAAACTACGTTAATAAACAGTAACACATGGCAAATAAGTATGGCACTTAAGTGACTGATCAAAATCAAAGAGAATTCAGTGATGCCCCATCCTTTCCTCCCCAAGGACACACCTCATTAAGACACTGAAGCTGTAGAAATGCTAAGAAGCCCCAAGTTGAACCTTTTTTTTAATAATACTATTTTCACTCAACAGGAGTGCCTTTTTGCAAATGTATGTATGGCTCTGAATCATAAGGACTTTGTTTTACTTTTCAGTTAAAATACCAAACAAAGAAAATTGATTCTTCATTTAGTATTGAAGACTGAAAAAATGCAGCTAGGATACAATTCAGTCCCAGAACTGCAATAGAATTATCAGCACCCACAACTGCTCATTATGACTACTCTTAGCAATACACACTCATGTACAAAGAACATTTTGGAAGTCAGAGTGCACATGTAATTCACGCTGAGTAGTTTAAAAAGTAAAGATGTGGGAAAATGAAGAATCTAAAAACCAAACTAATTATTGCTTCTTTGTATCTGCACTCTCTCCTCATTTTGAGTTTTTGTTTTGTTGGCTCTTGGTTTTTCAGCACCTGGAAAGAAAATCTATATACTGCAATTGTTAAGAGATGCCATCATTTGCTAAACTAGAAGCCAGAAAATGAAAACATCACTTTAAAATAGCCCAAAAGCTTGCAAATTACTACAATGTATACCTCTCCTTTTCCTCCTCATCATCGCTTTCATATTCTGATTCATCTCCACTAGATAGTTGCTCTTCTTCCTCTTCAGGCAAAGGAGGCTCTTCAGGAGGCAGAGGTGGGATTGGGGGCGGTGGCACAGGCACTGGTAAATACTCTTCATACTAATTATGGACACAATGTTAAAAAAGCAACTAAACATTTTAAGAAAAAATTGTGTATCTTGTTTTCCTTCACATAATAAAAGCAGTCACAGAATTTCAAGGCCTGACTTCTCACCTTACTACTATTACTACTTACTTTGCATAACCATTACATTCACAGTGCTTAAGCTGGCCCAATTAGACAAGTCATATTATTCCCAGAAAATTAGTGTGAATCCATTTATTTAATAGATTTCCCAGTTTTCTTTACCAGCTAGCCCTCCTGTTAATAGAAGCAGGTGTTCTGTTAGGGCAAACACAAAGTGCAGTGGAGCATAATTTCACTATATCCAAATACTGTCAGTATCACTAGCAATACAAGCCCTCACCTGCTCTATCTTTCACTGGCAGTCAGTTAAAACACTCCATCACAGCAACACGACAGAGACAAATCTGTTTGTCTTTATAAACAGCTCACCCCTAACCCTCTGCTAGTTTCCCTCAACCCAGCCTCTTTCAAAAAACACACTGGAGACAGAGCATGTTAAATCCAAAAGGGTTCTATAATCTCATTAACAATCAGAATCTCATCAAAACTCCAACACATAGATCAAACAACTGAACATGTGTTACCACTGTAAGACAAGGGGCTAATGGTATTCTTTATTTACTGTATCTATAATGTGATGCTAAAACTTCCCTTTTTTTTAATATACTCAACAGTTTGAAATATTCCAGTGCTACTTTCACACATGTATATTTCTTTGTTCTAAGTATAGATGAAAAGATTTCTTTAAAATACGCACATCTTAGTCAAGGAACTGTACCAGCATTCACTACCCTTAGAAATTTCTCAAAATTTTAAAACTTTGAACTCCTACATGTTGCTAATACTTAAAATTGTGAATCCATTTTACAGTACTTAAAACAAATATCAAAAAAGTTACCATGGGAGGGCGAGCAGTAATTGGTCCAAAAGGTGGAGGAAGATTCATTTTATTCATAAGATGAAGTACCTGAAATTATTTAAGACAAGTAAGATTTCCTTTAAATGAATGAATAAAATTAGCTCCTTTCTAGGTATCACTGCCAAAAACTTCTGGCAGCTGTAAATCATCATATTTTTAGTGAAGACACTACATTGGTTATTAGACAATGTGAAAGCCTGCACTTGAGATCCAGCACTAATGGTAAATAAGCAACACCCTAAGAAGGCTAATTAAAAAAGTAAAGCACCTTCTCAGAATGAAATTTCAAGCACTTAAGTCACATCTAAATAGGAAGATCATATCCAGTTAAGCCTTCAGTGTCAATGAAGTAATGGTTACTTCTTACCAATTAAATCTTACTATCTCAACATTGCAAAAAATTAACATTGGTTAACACCATCACAGGAAAACTAACTTAATATTTTCTATGACAAACATTATTTCTGTGGATAATTAAAACAAGAGAAAGGAGGTATTTTTATGCTTTGTTTTCTGTTTTTTACTTACCTGGACATAAAATTTGGGCACACTTGCCAAAGCATTTGCTATATTTGCTAGAATTGTACTTGAAGGTGGCGGATACAAATATTTGAGGCAAGAATTGATGGGAAATGTGAGGCTGAAGAAACAAGATTAAAAACAAGGACACATCAGTCATTATCTGATGATGATACTAATAATTACTGATTACTAGAGGCTGAAAGATTACTAGAGGTGTAACTATTCATTACATACAAAGTATCACTGAAATAGTACTATTTTCCCTAGAACAGTTTTGGACCACTTACGTGATGTCTTTAAAATCAGGGAGCAGTCCCTTAATGAATGACAGACTTGTTGAGCTTTGGCTCAAAGTACCAACACACGAAGAAAGCCTAAAGCACAAGGCACCATCCATCACAACCAAAAACACAGCACAGCACGTTGTACAAACATCACTGACTCAATGCTCAAAGTGCTGGCTTTATTAGTCCAAAAATAAATTCATCCTTCATGTATGCAAAAAAGCAAATGGGGTAAAAAGAACAAGAAAACCCTGGAAAAAAAAGGCAATATTCTGCTGTTAACACAAACTCTTCCTGAGGAAGCAACGCATCGTGCTAGAAGGCTCTGATGCAATCCTCAACTTCATGGCTCAAAGCACCAGTTGCTACTCAACTGCAAGGATTCTGAACTTGAAGAACTAAAATTTCACCTTTATGGCAATTCCTACATCTATGCATGTGTAACCGTGGCATACTATGAAACAAGAGAGAATGCAGCATACCACATTCTCGTTCAACAGGGCATGACCCTTTTTCACAATAAACTGTAGCAGATTCAGAATATATAAGTTACTAACCCATGGTTGGGTGCAATTCCATTATCTATTTTAACACAGTTTGGTTCTTTCTTCTCTTCTTCTTTCACTGGTTCTTCTGAACTGAAAAATAATTAAGCATTAATTAAAACGGGGCAAAAATGAAGTGCCTTACATAATGTATCAAATATGTTTACGATCATACATTAAAAATTATAAGAAATGGATTAGTACAGAATAAATACATGTGGATCTTTACAGCAGTCAGACTTCTAAGGCCTACATCAGTAAATATTTATGCAAACTTAATTAAGTCTCCCTATACTTAAACATTGCTGACTTACATGTACTCACAGAAAAAGAAAACTATTTCATGTTGCTCTCTGTACAGAGACTGCAACTCTCTGTTCAGAGACTGTACAAAATCAAAAGTATTAAATTATTGATTTGTTAATATTCAGAGTTGGAGAAATAACTTGAAAGCCCTATAGCTGATTTTAGTTAAGCACTATCACATAGCTTCTATCCCTTAGTTACATATTACACAGGTAATCTGAAAGCATAACCATGTAACCTTTTTTTTTTTTAAATAATGTATTTGACAGTCATTTGAAACCCAAAATACTACTGTTCTTGGCATTAGGATGCCATTGATTATTTTTTTTTCCAAATCTTACATACTATTTAACAATTTAAAGAGTGACTCAGACACTTCTGTTTGTTCTGCTCATGCTTCAAGCAAGACACATGGAAAGCAGCTCCAGCCTAGAATCCAGTGGCTTGAATACTATAGTCTTATCCAGTTACACTAGCAGGTGTCAATTCTGCCTAACTCTTAATTAGATTAGAAATAAACATCAAGAGGACACTGTATGCACTGTTTACTAGCAAAATAAAATTATAATCCTGACACAAAAGAAAACTAGAAGAGTTTCTTTAAACACAGGAAATCAGCACAACACAGAGATCAGCTTATACAGACTGGAGTCATGATCTGTAAATGAGAACAGGCCCATCTGCTGATCAAAAGACATTCATAATTATAAGAATAACGACCGGAATTATTACACAGTAATACTGAATGAAACAATGCCAATGGGAGGAATGCAGTCACTTACATATACTTCTAAACAGTTACAATTTATCCTTTGATTTAACAGTACTATGATAGTTTCACCAATACGGAGCTTCCTTTCCTTCACCACAAACATAGAAACTACATGACTGTGCACATACCTTTTAGAGGTCTCTGAAACAGAAGGCTGGCTAAGAGCCTGCACACCATCTTGCTCCTTTGCAAATTCCACAACTAAGGTGTGACCTAAAAGTTTCAGCTGATGCAGTCTTGACAAAGCCTTAAAATAATTATAATGGAGAAAAGAAAGGAAAGGTGAAAACCAGCAGAATTATTTAAAAGCATTTTTTTCTTTGATTAGCAAACTAGCCATAGGATACAGCCCCAACTGCTTTAATCTAAGTCTGTGCCACTATGGACACAGGTAGTTCTGCTCTTTTCCTGCCTTCACATCCCTGCATTTGGTACGTTCTTCCCTGGGAGCAGAAAGGAAAAAGGAGGTTTGCACAAACAGAACCACCAAAGAGGTTTGGTTCATCTGAACACAATAGCAAGACTGCAGCCTTAACTTACTACATAGCCTAGTAAATATCTGTGATTTCAAGTAACCAATCTCATGCTCATGAACTACAAACATGCTGAAGTCCACTGGTAATAGCTGGGAATTTTGAAATCAAGATTCTTCACACTTGACACCAGGTAGCTCCAGCATTCTGAAAGGCCGGATCCTGAGAGGCTGCTAACATTTGACACCAAGCAACCTAATTTCAACACTGTTCACCACACGTGGCCTAACTATTTTCAGCAGTTCTTTACAGCAGGGCCAAAGAAAAAAAGAAAAAAAAGCAACATCAAAAAAAGCAACAGGGTACAAGAGGGAAATTCAGGACAGAGGCTTTTTACCAGGTTCATGTTTTTAAAGCATCAGCAGTACCACTTTTTTTGGCAGCCAGGTAGTTTTTTGCATCAAAGTTGGGCAAGCAAGGCAATCTGGAGTTCTGTACATCACTATGTGTGAATCTCATGGCAAACATGCTATTATGCAGGAAGACAAGTAAATTGTGCTTGGTTTACTTTTATATTTAAATGCAAACACACCCTACACAAGGCCCTGATCAGTTTCCAACTCATAGAAGCTGCACAGACTCTTAGAAGGCCAGGTTTTGTGTAAAACATTTTAGAGCAGAACCAGTAGGTCAGAAAGGTGCTTTCCTAAAACATCCAGTAACAAACTCAATACAAACCTTCATAGCTGCATTTTCACTGGGAAAGGTAGCAAATGCAGTATGTTTCTAGAAAAGAAAAAAATTCTGTCATACTGAATTCAAAATAAAAAGCTAAGAAATTGCATGTAAGACATATCCACAAGTAATTTGTAAATTCAAGTTTACATATTTGAAAGCTTTCAGGTAGACATCATTTAACTCTTATGTGAGGAAAAGGTGAAAAACCAGGGAAATTTTTTGTTAAGAATTTGTCAAAAATTAAGATAGAGACTCAGCAGTTTGAGGAATACAGGAAAACTTTTTAAATTTTTTTTTCCAGTGAGCAAAAAGCCATCCTAAACTGCAGGGAAGTAGGCATTGATAAAGAAGCTTAAACCTCTTTTCAAAAACAGAAATTTATTTCAGCACCTCTCAGTAAAATATTTTAATCAAAGTGCCTCCTAAAAGCATTATTTTTCCTGCTACAAAAGTCATGAACCGTTGTTGAGCTCTGAAAGTTTGGATGGTTTCTAACTAATATTTTCCCTTGCTTTTTAAGTATAAAAACTCCTTCAGCTTCCAAACTAGATCACATCCAATTAGAATACACAGTTCATCTGAAAACTTGTTTTAACACACTTTATTACTTCATCTTGCCACTACACGATTCAGTATTTAAACCTTAAAACATTAATGCTGCTACAACAGCAGCTATCAGAACAATCCGCGAGGCTCTTCTCACAGCATTCCTCACAAGGCAGGCACTCCTGGGTTTGCAATTTAAAAGCATAAAGACCTCAAGAGACAGAGCTGTGAAGCCACATCCCTGCACCGACCAACAGGCACCTCGGCCTAACAAGGGGCCAAAGCTGCCGAGCAGGGCACGGGCTCTGCAGCCGGCGGGCAGGCAGCACCCCCGGCTCAGAC